CCGTACCCCATACCCTGATGTCCCCCGTGTCCCCATTTCCCACTGTCCCCATGTCCCACTGTCCCCATACCCCACTGTCCCCATATCCCACTGTCCCCATGTCCCGCTTGTCCCCATATCCCCACGTCCCGCTGTCCCCATTGTCCCCATATCCCGCTGTCCCCCACTGTCCCCATTGTCCCCATGTCCCATTGTCCCCATGTCCCGCTCTCCCCATGTCCCAATGTCCCCATATCCCACTGTCCCCATATCCCCATGTCCCGCTGTCCCCATTGTCCCCATGTCCCGCTGTCCCCATATCCCACTGTCCCCACTGTCCCCATTGTCCCCATATCCCGCTGTCCCCGCTGTCCCCCCCGTGTCCCCAGGAAACCTTCGAGCGGGTGTTCGTGTCTCCGGGGCTCCGCGGTGTCCCCTGGTACGTGATGGCCGGGAACCACGACCACGCGGGCAATGTCACCGCGCAGCTGCGCTACAGCCACCACTCCCCGCGCTGGTACGGTCCCCATTGTCCCCGAGTGTCCCCCGAGGGTCCCAGAGTGTCCCCCGAGTGTTCCCGAGTGTCCCAAAGTGTCCCCGAGTGTCTCCGAGTGTCCCCCGAGTGTCCCCAAGTGTCCCCGAGTGTCCCAAAGTATCCCCGAGTGTCTCCGACTGTCCCCCGAGTGTCCCAAAGTGTCCCTGAGTGTCCCCCGAGTGTCCCCGAGTGTCCCCGAGTATCCCAAAGTGTTCCCCAGTGTCCCCGAGGGTCCCGTGAGTGTCTCCGAGTGTCCCCGAGTGTCCCCAAGTGTCCCAAAGTGTCCCCCGACTATCCCTCAGTGTCCCCGAGTGTCCCCACCATGTCCCCACGTGTCCCCGTGTCGCACAGACACTTCCCCCGCCTCCGCTACCCCCCGTGCCTCGTGTTGGGGTGTCCCCAGACTGTCCCCAAACCCCTGCAGGTGTCCCCAGACTGTCCCCAAACCCCTGCGGGTGTCCCCAGACTGTCCCCAAACCCCTTTCGCCAATCCCCGCGATGTCCCCGCATGTCCCAACGTGTCCCCGTGTCCCCGCAGGCACTTCCCCCTCCCCGGGATGCGCCCAGATTGTCCCCAAACCCTATCCGGGGTGTCCCCAGACTGTCCCCAAGCCCCTTTCGCCAATCTCCGCGATATCCCCATGTGTCCCCGCGTGTCCCCAAGTGTCCCTAAGTGTCCCCGCATGTCCTCCCGTGTCCCCGCAGGCACTTCCCCCACCCCTACTACAGCCTGCGGCTGCACATCCCCAATTCCAACGCGTCGGCGCGGCTGCTGGTGCTGGACACGGTGCTGCTGTGCGGTCACTGCGATGATTTCGGTGTCGCCGATGTCCCCGCGGGTCCCCGGGACGCGGCGGCGGCCGGAGCTCACCTGGCCTGGCTGCGCTCGCAGCTCGAGGCGGCGGCCGGGGATCGCTTCGTGCTGGTGGCCGGCCACTACCCGCTGTGGTCAGTGGCCAAACACGGCCCCACGCCGTGCCTGGTGCGGCTCCTGCGGCCGCTGCTGCGGCG